CTAGCCTGATAATAACAGGGTGGGAATAGTCGGTTGTACGGATAACACATATAAAACATAAACAATTTCATTTAAAACTTTAATGTCAGTATATAAACATCATCTAATTATATGAAAGAACCACTAATAACATCAAGCTCAATTGTTCCAAACTATTTCTTCTCACACAACTACTAAAACATCAAACCACAATTACATAAAGTTCAATAACTATTCATACACGGGTACATAGTATTGAACTCAAACTATAACTCAAAAGATAATACAAAAAGAACCTTTCTTCCTGAGGTCCCCTACGATGATGTGTACGGTCGTCGTGTAGTCATCACTTCTTAATATTTTCTATTGAAAAACATTTCTAAATGTAGAATGAGCTTACTCGCATAGCAGGTAGTTCATGTCTTTAGATAAAAATTTATATAAAACCAAAATAAAGCACTTTTTCGTATGAAAACATGAAAGGATTATCAAACTTGCATAATTTCGTATCAGTACATATAAAAAATATTTTTTCATAACTTTTCCTCAATGTAAAACCTTTCATTTATCTTTTTCTTTTCCTAAACATTAATTCTCATACTTTGAAAAAAAACATTTTTTCATAACTTTTCCTCATGCACATTCTTTTGTTATACTTTCTTTCATTCATATGGGTATTGAAAAACAAATGTTAAAATCAAAAATTCATTTGTTCAAAGCATAAAAACATTTAATCTACTGAAAGCTCATTAATTTCATGAAATAAAAGACTTGAATGTACATATTGCCAAAAATGTCGTATAACATGAAATTTTTCAACCATTTGTATTGAATAATATAACGAAGCATAATTATGAAATTTTTACTAAAAATATGAATACCTACCTCAAACCAAGTACGAAACTTTTTTAAAAAGTCATTTTGACACAGCTTATCACTTTAACGATCATAATCTAAAATGATAACAAAAGAGACGTGTCACAATTTAATAATCTAATTCATATGTCTAAACCCTTCGTTTTCCCCTTAATTATTCTTTACGACACTTAATGAATTTTAAATTAAATAAACATTAATTTTTGGATTTAATTAAATCTTAAATTTTAAAAAATCACAAATCTTCAATTTCATCAAAATATTGCTCCAAAATTAATCCTTAACATATATTTATAATTATATTATTAATTTTCGGATTAAATTAATTATATAATTATAAAAACAAAATTTTCATTAAAAATTCAAATTCATATTTTAAAAACATTCCTAATGTCCTTAGGAATAATTTTTGTAAAAATATATTTAAGGAATTAAAAATTTTGTGAAAACCCTAAATTTCTGATTTTCAAAATTTCCTCCTAAAACCTTCATTTCTATTGTTAAAAAGCTGTCCTAATCCTTCTTTATTCATTTCTTAAAGAAAATTTGGAAGAAAATGAGAATTTGGAAAAACCCTAGAAATTTCTTTTCCAAAATACTTGAGATTGTCACGACCCAGCCCGGTAAACTCGCAAGTGCGAGGCATGAATAGAGGTCGGACGGGAAAATAGACAAGTTAACAAAGCATATCATTAAATCCTCCAAAAAGAAAATTAACATCTTTACTACAAGAATGAAAGAGCCACTAAAGTAATTCCAAGTAAGATTTTTCTATTTCATTTACCTTTCAAAAGAGATGATTACATAAAAGTTCTTCCAATAGAATGGATTCCAAATCACAATTAACCCTCTCAAAAATCTATACATACCATCATCTATCAACAAAAATAACAAAACATCAAAAGAACCTGCCGCCCGTCGTCTCCCTACGACGGTAAGTGCGCGGTGGTTGGTCTTCCATTTATCCTTTCCTAGATCCTCCTGAAAAGTGTTTCCACAACGAGGGTGAGTCTAATACTCAATAGGTGAGAATGAAAATTCAAATAAACTTAGAATCAAGAGAGAAAAACTATAACATGCTTTGGGAATTTTAGCAAAAGAATCATCAATCATATAACAAGTTGTGCTCAAAGAAAAGCATACATTTACCTCAACTTTCAAATGTTTAAACCTTCCATAACCTTTCCTTTCTTCCTTTTTAAAACATCATGCCTCAAGTGATAATCTCAAATGCATATAACATGTGTATGAAACATTCATAACAGTTTAATATATAAATAGTTTAATATATATATAACTATAACACCCGTCTCAGAAGTATCACTTGTACTGATCAGGTACATATAATTTGGTCATTTCCTTTTCCATTGGTTCATAAGAACCATCCTTTTCCATAGCTCATAAGAGCTTCCTTTTCCATGGCTCATAAGAGCCTCCTTTTTCATGTAATACTCCCGCGTCAACATGCACATACATTTATTACTTATATAACTATAAGAGATGCTTTTATGTAAATCATTCTTAAACTAACCACTTGTTTGTTTCCTTAGAAAACTACATGCTTGATATGCTTATGTGTGCTTTTGCAAGTAAGAGGAAAGACATGTATAGCATAAAAAGAGAAATGAGCATGTGATTCATTCATAAATCGTACATTTGCATAAAAAAAGACCCATTACATTTGCTTCAAGTGTCTTTAAACTTACAAGGGAACATGAGCCATGAAAGTTTTGTGATAAGCTTAAATGAATTGGTAATTTCTATGTAATTGCAATGAAAGAAAAGTTGTCTAACATTTATAAGAAAATCCATTTCACCTACCTCAATCCGTGCACTCCTTTCTTTGACCGATCAACTCTTTCCCTCCACATGATTTATATCTAAAAGAAACATTTAAAAAAAGCATAAGTGACTAATCCCTACACAATAAACTAAATCTTAATTCTAAAGTAATGAAAGAATCCTTTCTATGTTTTGTTTAAGTTCCAAATCAAACCCTTCCCATATTTCATGAAATCTCTCAACACATTTTCTCTCATTAAAAGTTTAGGCCAAATCCATAGATTCTAAGTATACAACACCCTTCCCTACCTTCAAAACATAATTAAAATAAATTCAATTTTCGGAATTAAATAAATAAAAAATTAGAAAATATAGTTTTTCAAGCAAAACACATGTATTTGCTTCTAAAATCCTCCCAACAACCTATGAAAACCATGGGGATCAAAAATATCATGATTGGGGAAAAATCCTAAATCCCTAAACTCAAAATTTTGCTTAAACCTTACAATGTCTTCCCATAAAAACTTCCCCATACCCTTAGAAATATCTTTTGTGAAGGCATTTCCAAGGAAGATCAATTTTAAGTAAAACCCTAATTTTCAAAATTCATATTTTGATTAAAAAAATACACATTAGGGTTTAAAAATATCCTCCTAACCTTTCCTAAACCTTTCTCAAAAGAATCTCAAAGAAAACTTAAGTTTTCTCAAAACCCTAGTTTTCATTTCTTAGGGAAAACTAAAGGAAAAAAGGAGGAAACTCATGCAAAACTCATACCTTAGTCTTCCCTTAGTCTCCCCTACAATTTCCCCTAAGATTGGTCGCCGGAAACCTCCACCGGAGCTGCCCGATCCCTCTCCCGTCGCCTCTACCCGTGCGCTCCCCTCCCTCGTCCGCTCGGTTTGGGCAAAAAGGGCGAATGAGGGGAAGAGTGGGGTGTTAGGTTTGCCTAATAGGGAGTAATAGGAAAGGCCTAAAGACCTAATTGCCCTCACTTAAGTAGATTTGGCTTAAGAAAGGCTTAGGGGTAGTTTGGGCATTAATGACCTTCTAAAAATTATAATCTCCAAAATACTTAAAATACGATATAGGTTCTATACATCAAAATGATCAGAATTTTACGCTCTATTTTCTAAAATTATTCTCGTCGAAAACCGACAACCTCGAATTTTTCACTTAAAACTCGTCGAGGCGCTTTGAAAAGCGTGCGAGGTCTAAAACGACATTTTGCGGGTTTTACAGAGATCTAGAGAGATTCGTTTTGAAACAATTGTACCTTAAGGTTCCCCTCGTCGTCCTATTCGATAAGCACTAATTTCTTCGCCGAAAAATTGTCGCTGAAGTACACGTCGCCGAAGCCCCGCCGCACGTTCTGTCCGCCCCTTGTTCGTTCCTTCTCTCAGTTTGGCCAAATGAAATAAGAAGGGGGCCGGTTTACTCATATTAGAGAAATTAGGTTTTGCAATTGATCCCCTTGCCCTTACTTAATCTATTTCGACATTAATACCTATGAGGGATAAAGTTGGTATTTATGGGACTAAATCAATTTTAATTTCTATAATACACATAATTTAATATAAGTTCTGTATATAAATCGATCAGAATTTTTCGTTGGATTTTATAAAATTATTTCCATCAAATTCTGTTAACTTCAAAAATTTCACTTAAGTCTCATCGCGACGCGTCGAAAAACGTGCGACGACCTACGAACGTCATTTTCGGGTTTTACAATTTTGATCCTTATCTCTTATTTTTTTTTATATTTAAACATTTAAATAATATATTTGTTTAAATAAATATTTGTTTTAAATGCTCATCAATTTGCTCATAAAAATTTCATAGCTCTTGCATGCCGTATTTTGCCTAGTTTTGTGCGTGCAAAATTTTGACTTTTGTCGATCGAAAACCCTAGCCAATATGATTGTAGATCTTTGTTGTTTCAATTGTCTCAAACACGTCGATGTTGTTCATCTCATGAATGAATGTCGTTTTGATGATTTTGACTTGTTGATGCCTTTTAAACAAAATATGTCTCGCTGTTTGCTAGATTCTTCATCGTGATTAGTCGGGTCTACCCCGAAACAACCATTGAAGTCAGCATTGAATAAAAAGCAAAAAAAAATCATAGATAATGTGAAACACTTTGATCTCAAGGAAAAATATAATATACCAACTATGGATGAGAAAAGCTTAAAATTCCTCCAAGCATGTTTTATTATGCGGGTATGCATCTGTGCATACCCATCCATGATAACCCAAAATATTAAATAACAGCATTGAAGAAGCAATTAAAAGTCAACAAAAGCATTTATAATTTGCAAGTTTAGATTGTACATTAACATAGCCAACAATCCATTACTCACTTCAAGTGCAGCAGAATCTTTGGGCGATTTACTGAGGGTCTCTTGAAACTGTCGAACTGTTTCCTGAAATGAATAGCAGAGTTTACTATAATGTCTGATGGTGCAGTCCTAGGATAAAACAAACATTATAGGAACATGTCGGAGTCATAATAGTAACGCAAACATAAAAGCAAAATCTAGACACAGATCTGATGTTACTTGATGTGGATGGCCAGGAACGTAGCAAGATGATTTTCAATATCAAGATATAAATACGAAGTTATAATACTCAAATTTCAATCAAATGTAAGCATGAACATTTCCCGAAATTATTCACTATTTTATCACTCACATGGAAAATGTCAACCTTATTTTCATTAAATTTTAATTTCTATTTTGATCCATTTCATATATATAAGTATATCCAAAATATGTTTTCATTAAATGAATTTTATTATATCAACATTTTCTATGTTCATTTAATAGCTGCTAAACCTATCTAACATTTCATTAAATGAATTTTATTATAGCAGAATCTTATTTGCCACTAGCAAAATTTTGTTTTCCACTTAAACATGCATGCAGGGGCTGATCTGTAATCCTACGGCTGGAATTAAGGGAATAGGTTAGTGGGATACGCATTAGTATATTATATGAAGATACAAGATAAGTAAAAAAAAAAAGTATTTCCATCATCCCATTTCTTCCCCACCCGCCATCCTCTCTGGAATTCAAAGCAGCGGTCGTGTGAGCTGATGCCGTGAGGGCTGTTGGCTGGGAAATGTTGCTGCATGCTGCTGGAATATTCAGAATTAAAAAATGGCAAAAATCGGGAAAGGAATCAATCAAGGGCTGTAGGGTTTGTTGAATTCAGTATTTGCTGGACATAATGCAGCTGAATTCAGCAAGGAAACAAAGACTGTAGTTGCGTAAGGACTGCTGAATTTAGGAAATAGGGAAGTAAGGACTGCTGCTACTAGTTGCTAAAAAATTCAGAACAACAAGGAAAAACAATGGGATGTTTGCTGAATTTTGTGAGAGGGCTGTAGTTGTTACAGAAAACAGTAAAGAAGAGGAAAAAAAAATATAGTAGAGGAGTTTTGGAAGAGAGGTAGGGATAGTATTGAATGAGAAGTTTGGTGGAAGTGATATACAAAACAAAAAGAAATCGGGCTATTTTAGGTGAACAAATTTATCCGATTATTCTAGAAAAAGATGTGAGATACCCAAATGATGCCATAGGAAATATTTAAAATTTCATATAATTGCAAATTCGTACTTGTTATATTTATGATAGCAATTATTTCAATTTATACTAGTTTATCAATGTATAAATTGTCGATTCATTAAATATGGATTACAATAACATATTTTATGATTGTTAACAAAAATGAATGGTATTTGAAAAGGTAAAATAACTCATAAATAGGGGATAAACCTGCACAAGTAAAGATGAAAGACCTGACGAGGTAAGCCTATACTCTCGAAATTTTAAAAGTTGAGAATTTGGATCGAGCCTTGAATGAGAAAACAACTTCAATTCTAAAAGTTGAGAATTAGAATCCAATCTTGAATTAGAAAGCTGGAAATGTGCGAAAGTCTATATTCATCATATGAGTTGTATAAAGATATTGAACAATAAACAATAAAGAAAGTGATGTTATGTATTTCTTATGACCAATATAGAATTTACATGGGTTTTAAATCAATTGTTAAAATGTTGTTATTATTTTTTATATGTTGCTTGCGTATTACATTAAGCTATATCTCATTAACAGTGGTTGTACTACAGGGAGGGGGAAGAAGCCAGTGGGGTAATAATCAGGATAGTTGACTACTCTTTTGTGTACATACAATTTTTTGATGTATCTGAGTAAGAGCTGTGTAAACTTTTGGATATGTAAGTATATTTTAAAATTTTTAATAAAGCTTTGTATTTCAATTGAAATGTGCATTTTATTTGAGATATATTACATATGCTTCATGTTATGAAGTATAAAACTTGATATGTTATAATATGTTAGGATACTCTGAATAGACTACCTCTTATCCCCTGATTTAGATATAGGCTTTTAGAATAGGTGTTAGTAAAGGAGGTCGATTCAGATTCTTCTTCTCCGTTATACTTTGGATTGACTCGAGCGAGGACAAAAATGGGGTGTGACAAAAGTTTTAATCAAGCAATAATTAAGCAACATAACACCATAAAAATGCGGGCCTTTCAATTCCCTAGGAAAGTGGATCTTTCTAACATTCTTCTCTTGCTCGAATGCATGAAAGAAGCCAAAGACACTCCTCTATTGCTTGATTCGGTCTTTAGGTTTTTGTTGTCTCCTTAAAAAGCAAGGGATATTTGGGCTACGACCTAAAAGTTTAAGGATATTTAACTACCACTTGAGATGGGTTAGGAACATTTGGTGTTTCCTAAAAGTTCAAAAGGCATTTGCCACCTATTGAAAAGTTTTAAAAGGCATTCTGGTAACCAACTAGGAGTAGAATTTGCCTGTTTTGGTAAAGACAAAACTCAAAAGATACTAAGGATAAGAGTATTTTGGCTACTACTTAAACATTAATAATATTTGGGATAAGATAACCTATTTTGGTTAGATAAAAACCTTAATATTTAGGTAGACTAAAAGGTATTTCAAGACCAAAAAAAGTCTTAAAATTTTGGATAGATCTATTAATATTCATTTTGGGAAAAACTATAAAAGACTTAGCTAGGAGGGACCTTGGAAGATTTGAATTCTACCTAGATTTGCAAGTCGCTAAGAAGACTCCTATTTAGGGATGTCTAAAGTTAGCTGATACTAAAAAAAATAGAAATGACTTTCTTTTGGAGAAAGAGAAGATTAACTTTCTTTTGAAGAAAGATGATTGATTTGGAATTAAGACCAAGCTTTTAGTAATCTAGCCCCAGTCAACAACTAGATGAAAGGAACATTTCTATTTGGGAGAAACATTCATTCATTAATATGATTGAAATTTGAATACAATTAGTTGTAATATTTTTAAGTAATGTTTATTGATAGGTAACATAGGATGTTCCCCATTACAATCAATTAGCATGTAAGACCCTCCTTGATAAGCTTTTTCTACCACAAAGGAGCCTTCCCATGTGGGCTCGAATTTGTCACTTATTTTACGGTGAGTTAGAATCGGTCTACGAAGAACTAGGATTAAGTCATCGACCTTCAAAGTCCTAGGATGGATCAATTTGTCATAAAGTTGAGTCATACGGGTTTGGTACAACTCGAGGTTCTGTTGAGCTTAAAAACACTTCTCATCTAAACCATCAAGTTCTTTCAATCTCAGTTGAGCATTTTGTTCACTTGTAATTTTATTATTTATTTCAATTTTGAGGGATAGAAGTTGTACCTCAAAAGGGAGAACAATCTCTGCTCTATAGACTAAAACAAAAGATATAGACTAAGTCAAAGTTTTGTATGTGGTCGAATAAGCCCACAAGGCTTCGATTAACTTTTCATCTCACAAAAGTTTGGTCTCATCTAAAATTTTCTTTAACACCTGAACTAATGTCTTGTTGAATGCTTCAATCAATCCATTAGCTTGAGGGTAATATATAGTACTAAATCTCCAATCAATGTATATTTGCTAATAAATTGATTTATTTTAATGCTTTTGAAGGTAGAACCATGACAATGAATATTAAATCAATGTTTAAAATGATTGACATTTATTAAATAGAAATTATTATTTCAAATAATTTTATATCTCCTCTTTCTTATCACACAATTTAATTTGATTTCCTATTTTTAATTATTAAATAGTTTCTTTTTTTTTCTTTAAACATCTTGTTTGTTGATATGGTATGGAGAACATAACACCATCAGAATGAAATTTTTAAAGTTTTTAAGAAGTTTTAAAAATAACTGGTGGAAATTTCATTAGATTTCATTGCCTCCACCACTAATGGTTAACATCAATCCTGGGAATTTAATCGTCTCCTCCACCAATCAATATGTTGGCGACCAAAAAGCAAATTATTGGAGGAAGGTCGATACGAGATATATGCATGCATGTATGATAATAATTGATGGAATTGAGATTATTATCTTTTTATGAATTCAGATTTAAATTTTGATTAATAAATATATTCATTATTTTAACTAATTATATAGTAATTAAGCTTAATCTATTATATTATAATCATAAATATTTAGTATAATTACAATTATACAGTAATTAAACCTTATTTATTTTAGTATAATCATAATTATTAAATTTTAACATCGAATTATTGATGGAATTGAGATGATTATTTTTTATTAATTTTAATTATAAATTTGATTAATAAATAAATTCATTATTTTAACTAATTTAACAGTAATTACACTTAATTTATTAAAATTTAATCATAATTATTTAATATTCAAGTATAATTAATTATTAATTTTAAATAATAATAAATAATTATAAATATTGTAGAATACAGAAAAATACGGAAATTATTTTAATTATAAAAAACTATTAATTTTACAAGCCATATTCGTGTACTCCGTTGAATACGAAAATTCATTTTTTATATTCTAATGAGAAATTTTTTTCCCGTATTCGCTCTTTAAAATATTTTAATTAGACTGCTAATACGATCCTTTTCATAATATCGCCAAATAAAAACTAGCCTATGTTAAAACTGAAGATTGAAGTTGAGATGCAATCACATGACATTGGAATTAAGAATCCACTTTGAAAGGCTAATTATCTCAAGTTAAGAAGCTCCCCATCACCAGCAGGAGTATTTTTAAATTTATGAACTTGCTAAACATTAAAAAAGATAAAGTGTACCTCAAGTGTTGACCTTTCTTTCTCCGAAAGCTTTTTCTCAATCACAGAATTATCACCAGAAGGCATATTGCTGTCAGAAGGGGAAAAAAAATGAAAGTTTCAAAGGTTTTGTTTTGCAAAACTGATAATATGAAACACAAGAAAAGACACTTAAAATAAAAAATTATGGTTATTCATGAAGGCATGTAAAGGACCCGTTTGGGTGGCCGGCATCCCTCCTAATAATAGTCGCAACCCCAGAAATGGGGTTAGTTTTTTGTGAATCAATAGAGGCGGAAGACTGGGCGGAACCGAGCGCATGCGTAGGGGGGTTTTTGAGTTTTCGATTCACTATTTTTAGCAATCCATTGTGTTTGGGGATAAGAATCAACAACTCCACTTCCTATTGCCAAAGAAGTGGAGATTAGAAAGAAACGAGAGGAACAACCCGGGGAAAGTGAGAAGAAGGTTTGTTGATTTTTCTTTCCATTTTTTTCTTATATAAATTTCGTCGATTACTTCATTTAAAGCGAATGATAGTTTCTTAAAGGAAAAGGAAGGAATTGAAAGCAAAGAGAGAATTTTAGGAGACGAAGAAGGATTTAGGGATTTTGAGAAAATTTTCATTTGTAAGTGAATTCTTTATTGTATAACTTTAATTAAATTTTGTTATTTAATTACATTTCATGAAAGTTATATTGTATGGATTTAGGGATTTTAGAAAGGGAGAGATCAAGTTGTAGAAGTTGGGTTCTTCAAAGAATTCAACAAGAAAGAAAATTTGAGGTTGAGGTAAGAATAAATTAGATAGATGTTATTGAGAAATTGGATGAAAGTTAACTATATGTAACTTGCGTTATTGTGTATCTCCTTAGTTTGTGGCAGGATCATAGACATGAAATATTCAAAGTGAGTACTTACATAATTGTTTTTATTGTATTCTTTTCTATTTTTATTTTGAATGGAGTATGTTATATAAATATTATGAATTGTTTTGAAAATTATTACTTATGGAATAAGCAAATGCATATACAAGTATAAATATGTGTGAAAGTGAATGTATGTAAAGAAAATGCATATAAGGAAAATATAAAATAAAGTTAGAAAGCTTTTATACATATTGACACGTATATCAAAAGTGTATATATATATATATATATGAATGGTATACAAAAGAATGAAAGATAAATGAAAAGAAAAAGAAAAGAAATAGGATATGCATGCAAACTTACAGGAGTTCACCCCCATATGGTACATGCTGGGGAAGCAACATACTCGTGCACGTAAAAAGTAAAAGGTTATAGATAAGGAAAAGGAAAATAAAAATTATTGTACTTTTGGTACATTTAGACGGTGATCTTATACAAAATAAATGGGAAAAAGAATATATGTTAAAGTAAATGATAATGTTATAAATGAATATAATATATTATGCATAAAGGAATGAAGGGTATGATATAATATTGATAAATGAATGAATGAAATAAAATGAACCGCATAAAGGAAATGTATTTCAAATATTAAATGAATGAATATATATCAAAGGTTATATGTATTGTACTCTATGCACCTTATAGAATGACAGTCAAAGAATTACAAGAGCTGAAAAGTCAATTACAAGAATTGTTAGATAAAGAATTTATCATGCCAAGTTTCTCACCATGGGGGTTTCGGAGAGCATCACCCAAATATTCTAGAGGACGAGGTGAGATACCCAATGATGCATAAGAAATAGTAACAATTTTATAAAATTTCATATTGATATTTATCATGTTTACGATAGCATTTTTGTTGTTCACATGATACCATGTATTTCAATTCATTACAATTAATTCATATGTGGATTACACATGTAGTTGATTCTAATTTATATGATCGTTGGAAATGATTATGAAAATGTTCCTGAAATGAAAGAGAGTACAAATGCTTGTAAGTCATATGTTGGGGGATAAGCCGGAACCAGTAAAGGTGAAAGACCTGAAGAGGTAAGCATATACTCTCAATTCTAGAAGTTGAGAATTTAGATCCAACCCTGAATTGAGAAAATAACGTCAATTCTAAAAATTGGGAAACTAGACCCAAACTTGAATTAAAGAGCTAAAAGGGTGCAAAAGCTTATAGTCATCATATGACTTGTTAAAAAAATTTGTGTTAAGTAATTAATAAGATGGAAAGTACTGTTATATTTTCTTGTAACCCATGTGGAAGATGCTCTAATCATGTTATTATTTAGTCATTAATGGTATGCTTCTTTTTTTATGGTTAAAGTATTATTATTAATTCTTGTACATTGCTTGTGTATTTCACTGGGCTATAGCTCATTAGCAGTGATTGTACTGCAGGTAAGGGAAAGGAGCCTGTAAAGCATTAAAGGGATGACTATCTTTCTTTTGGTGTACATACTTTTCTTGGGTGTACATAGAGGTTCAAGTGTAAGCTGTACAAAGACTTTTGGGTATGTAAGTAAGGTTTAAACGTTGTAGTAGAGCTTTGTATTTGCATTGTTTATATTTGATGTTACTCAAGATATATTACATGCTTCCTATTATTAAGTGTGGAGCTTGAAATGTTGAAATATTAAGAGAGTCTAAATAGGTTTATTCCCTTCTCTGTTATACTCCAGTTTGACTGTTAGGGGGTGAGCCAAACTGGGGTGTGACATTAAGGTCACTCCAAGCTTAGGCATTTAGATCTAGTTCTACCCAAATTAAACATCAATAAATCTATCCAAATCAAACTTTTTAGTGGTTGCTAAAATACACTTTAATATTTCCAAATGTTGAGGTTTATCTAGCCCAAAATAGATGACCTTAGTTCAAATATCAATATAGTCTAAATAATTGCTAAAATACTGTTGACCTTTGTGTGTTATCCAGAAGATACAAAAGAAAAGAGGTTTAAACAATTACTTACTTGTAATGACCATCCCGCAAATCCCTCAAAGGTCCCGCCGCTGCTACAGTGCTACCTTGTATAAGTCGGCACCGAAACAATCATCTCCCGCGATTCATGCTCAAATCCCGCTCTCAATCACTGTCCCACTCTCGTCAATAAATACCAAACTCATCCAATCCTTTTGGGTGCTCTTCCCCATCACAAGACTCTCGCCTCTCCCACTACATACCCGAGCTCCGACCTCCTTCCTCAATCTTTCGGTCCGGTGAGTGAGAGAGAGAGTGAGAGAGAGAGAGAGAGAGAGAGAGAGAGAGAGGGAGAAGGGGCTCCCTTACCTAGCCATGACCTCCACAAATCTAACGCCAAATCCTCCTCCAGCCAAACACTTCCGGTCTCCTGCCCTAGCCAACGCCTTCAACAGCCTTCCCTTCCTGTTTGATCGGAACAAACGACGGGAGCTCGCCGTCAGTGAAGGTAACTGGCTACCTTTCACGCACTTCCTCGGCCCTATCCCGAGAATCCGCTGAATCGAGAGGTGGGGAGAGGGATTTTTATTTTTTATTATTATTATTTATTTTAAATTATAATTAATTAGTTTAAATTATGAATTAGTATTAATTAATTAACATTAATTACAATTAATTATATTAATTATAATTAATGTTTAATTAATCATAATAAAATAAGGTTAATTATGTTTAATTGATCTTAATTATGATTATAAATTAATTAATTGTGAATTAATTGTAATTAATTAAAATAATTATATTTAATTATTTTTAAATCATAATTAATTATAATTAATTAAATTTAATTGTGTTTAATTATATTAATAATTAATCAATAGTAAATTATATCTTAATTATAATTAATTAAAACTAATTCATTCTAATTAATTATTATTAATAATAAATAATTATAATTAATAAAAAAATCCCTCTCTTACCTCGATGTGTGTGTCGAGCTATCAAACTGCCGAAACACATTTTTCTTTAGCGTGGTGGGAAGGGAACCCGGTGCGACACCTACGATGAGGAAAGTGAGCAACCCCTCGGCTCCAAAATCCTGTTCTCGACGTTCGTGTCGAGCCGGCAAATCGCTCATACATGCTTTTCTCTAGCGTTGTTGGATGGGAACCCGGTGTGACGCCTACGGATAGATTGGGATATTCATAAGTACCCGCTCGTGGGGAAACAACTGCTTTTCTCTTGCAACAGGTACCGAAGACCCATACACGTCTGGCGTGGGGGGGACAGAAATTTCACGGCCGCAGTGTCCTTGTACGAGGGCACCAACCGTACACGCTTTTTTCTAGCGTGGCGGGAGGCCCAGTTTTCCGTACTTTTCCCCTAAACAGGGGAGACGACGGGAGGCTGCCAAAATTTTGGATGAATATATGACTGCACTCGGACCTTTTTGAACTTAAAAAGAACAAGGATCTGGACTCAAATGAGCATGAACAGCGGACTTGAAGGCTTATGCTTGAACAAAAACTCAAACTATTAATAAAAGATCAAACCCAAATAAAATAAATTCAAACTTGAACCGGGAATGAATATCAAATGAGCATAAATTGAACTTGCAAGGACAACAAGGAACTCGACGAACGGAAGAGGCTCATATTTAGCCTGGACATTATTTGAATATACTTTGGACCTGAACATGTGTTTTGAACTCAAAGAATAAATAAGGACTTATGAACTTGATTCAATAGATCCAAATGAATATGAACTTAGACTTGCAACACATAACAACGAATTGTATTTTGATTTGAATATGATTTGAACTGAAAAGATCACAAGGAACTTGAGTAAGTAAAGTCTAAGGCATCCTATGATGTGTATTCAAATGAATGCCAAATGGATAAATAAGGGGTTCATGTATTTCAACTCAGCATGTTTTTATGATTGATTCAATCATTCTTCTTGTAACTGAAAAATCAAGATTTGCAATAATATTAATCACCATCCGCTAAACATATGTAAAAAGGTTATGGTGGAGGCAGTGGCATGTGGAGACATGCAACAAATGAGATATCAAATTAAAAATTGAAGTGTGGCCCTTCCACGGTCAATGCAAGTCAGTATGCAAACTATGATCTACTCCAAAGGAGGTTGAAAGATTCGCAATGCTAACATGACTCAAGCAATAGAATTGCAAGGCTGGTGAGTATGAAGAAATGTGATAGTGCTAATG